TCTGTGAGCCGAATCTTAAAAAATTGTTTCTGCTTCAAGTGTATCTTAGCTTCACATTGATTTGTAATCAGTATAGAAATCAATCCAGATTGATTGTTTTTTCTGTTGTACTCCAGGATGCTGTATTTATTACCTGTTCACTTAGTCACCAAGTTCTTGTTTGAAATGATCTGGTTAGCCAGGGAGATATTCTCTCCTGGAGGTTTTCTCTCTTGATTTTTTGAATGCTACTTCAGGAAACATGGGAATTTCATTTTATACTAACTTATTTTGCATCACTACCAACATATGAGCAATGTATTATGTTGCTCCATTTTTCATAGCAAAGAAAAACACACAGAGAAGGTCAGCAAGTTTTCCTATATTGCCCACTAGTAAGTAGCGAAGGGGCTTTGCAAGAGTTGAGATTCAAACGATTACAATCTGTATTGCTATACTGTACTACCTTTTCAATCTATGGGCAGAGGGAGTTGAGAAAAACATTGTAAACATTATTTTTCTCAACACACACACACGTGTGCAAATACACACATCTTAAACTAAATAAGATACTGTGAACTATCCAGGTAGGCTGTCGATTTGCTATACAATATGTAGCCCATATGAGTTTCAACTAGGCATGCATAAACCAGGATTCTGTTTGAATTCATAGTGAATAGGTTAATAAATGGGTTTTATTGCAGAAGGGAGACACATGAACCAAAAGTCAGCAAGAAAGAGAAGGAATGGGTGCTCCTAATCTGCTCACCACACTACAGAAAAGCATAGAAGTAGGCTGACTTTTAAGATAAACCCAGATTCTTGGCGTGCTTGTGTTCACACTCTGTATAATCCCTTCCACTTGAGTTTGGGTGCAGCCTGTCATTATAATAAAATGTTACACCAGTGATAAGATTCTGTGTTCTGTGAAAAACATGATTTTTAGATGCAGTTAAGGCCCTCACTTAGTTGAATTTGAATTAATCAAAAGGTAGTTTGGGTGGACCTGATTTAATTAGGCGAAAGCCTTTTAAAGAGGCCCTGAAGAAGCAAACAGCCTGTTGTTTTAAACTGCCTAAGGAGAGGCCCAGTCTTTTAGAAGTTGAGTCACAAGGAAATGAATTGTGCCAACAATCTAAGAGAGACTAGAAGTGGATTTTTCCACGAGTAAGCCTCCAACTGAGAAGACAGCCCAGTTGACATCTTGATAGGAGACTTGGAAGATCTTGAGCAGAAAATACAGCTAAGCAGCGCCTAGTCTTCTGACAAATGAAAACTATGACATTATGCATGAGTATTGTTTCAGGACAGTAGGTTTCTGAATCTGTGCAGCGTAGAAAACCAGTACAAGGATGGTGCATTGAGGTCTTTGTTGGGCTAGTATAGGCTTGAATTTCTGTACTGCGACCCTTTCCTCTTTATGTCTCCTTGTAACAGGATAAACCTTGCTCGTGGGAAGGTACAGGCTGCTTGGCATCTGGTTGTGGAGAAATGGTGGGCCAGCTAAGTATGATACCGACCTGGCAAAGCCAGTTACCTGGGGACCTTGTGTTATAATTACACATATTTCCATTTTTTCATGTTTAATGTGTTTCATGAGTGATAAGAGTTATTAAATATAAAAAAGTGGTAGAGTTAGGGCATTTCTGAATACTTTCAAAAAGTTCTTAAAATATTCTTATTTTGCTATTCTTTTCCAGATGCACATCTTATTCCCCACACAATTTGATTTACTTTTTCTATCTCATAATAAGCAGAAGCTATATGAATGAAGATTTATATATAATTATCTAAAGTAAGAAACAGAAGGCTTTGCTGATTTGTGCCTCCAGATGTTTTATGTCAGATGAAAACCATTATATAATGCCTTGCTAAATATAGCACACCCATGTGATTATCATCACTTCTCCTGGAAAATATTTCCTTCAGTGTTAAAAACATAAACAAAACAGAAACTAAAACATCTATGAGTCGTGATTTCAATGTACAAACCTTAAAGTAGACATAGTAAGTCATCTATTTCATTTATATAACATAAAAATAAATATAATTTAATTACACAGTAAATATAATTTATACATGCTGTTTCAACTTACATTATTTTATCATATTTCATGTCTATGTTTCAAAGTAGTTTTTATTTTAGATTTAAAGTTTTTCATTTTTTCTAATGTTCTCCCTACATATCCTAGATACTTTTTATTGTTTTTTATCATGTCTAATGTGCCTGTAAAAAAATTTTCTTTGTTGGTTTATTTTAAGACACATTAAATCTGTATTACATTGTCTCTCCTAAGTTAAAGATCTATAGATTTTTAAAGGAAACAGCAATTATGCAATTATAATTTTAGGGAAATAGAGAACATTATGATTAAATTGGTGAAGTTATTTTGTGAGATATTTAGTTGTTTCCCTAAGTCATGTTAACATGAGTGATTGATTATCAACATTTGCAGAACTGGTAGCTTTTGAGGGCAGTCTTTCAGAGTTGTTCTGAATCCAGGAGGAACATTTTTGCTGTTTTTCTCCCTGGTTCTCCCTACTAAAGTAGGGGGCCTCATTTTGCTTTGCTAACATGGAGCTACCAGCCTCTTAATTGCTTGCCACCAAGCTGTCCACTGTTTTGAGAGCATCCTTAGAGTTTAACCCACCTACACTGTGTTCAATAAAGTCAGAACACTTGGGGAGAGCCTCACATATCTCTGTGGTTATGACCTGCTTTTCCCCTGGGAAAAAAAATCTCTGAGCACCTACTCCAGAGCTGGGTTCTGGGACAAAGGTCCTCTCCTCTCAGAGTGAAGTCTTTACTCTGTGAGCAATGATGGATCGGGAGCAGTCGGCTCTGGGTATGGAAACTCCATTCTGCAAGTAAGCTGAAAGGAGCATGATTGGGGTCTCTGTTCTCTTGGACTTCTATGTGTCTTATAGAGGTATTATCCTCTGAGTGAGGGCTGCGTGGAGGAAGGGGATCCCTGAAACACAAAGTTGGGGGATGAAAAATATTATCTCCTGCCTCCCTTGGGGAGACGCTGCAGCCCTAGACTGGAATCTGTGGGGAGGGACTCTTGGTCAGCCACTTAGAATGTAGTTTCCATCTTTTTGATTGGAGTGGGAGCATGGCTCAAATGCCATAGACTCAGTTTTATGAGATTTAGTAGCTTTTCTTCAATATATGCTTCTTCGTTTGTTGCCTGCCCTTTAGCCAATTAACAAAGACTTTAAATGATTCCTTTGCTCATTTATGTATTTATTTTTCTTAGTTTCACCTGTTACAGTTATTTCTCTAGGGCGAGGGTCCACAGAGCTCCCCCAAGGCACAATTCTGGAAGTCATCTGTTCCAAAGATATTTTGAAATCATATTTTAAGTAAACTTTAAGTAAGCTTCAGAACTGAGATAAAATAAAGGAGACAGGAGACACACTGTCGGTAAAGAGCCTAAGGAAAGTTTCAAATGAAATTGAAAATACAGGACACATTTAAGGATTAACACATTGTCCACCTTTGTAGGAATGTTAGAAATGTAGGAGAGTATTGAAAGAAGAGACAGGGAAGACTGCTGGGATCACAGTTTCTGATGATGAATGCAGACGGAGGTGTATTTAATTTTGTAGACAATGTAGTGGGATCAATCACTAATGAACAATATTCTTCTTTAAAATTGCTTTTCTCATTTCCAGGTCTCAATCAACATATGGGTGTAGTGCATGGTGGTGAAGTCACTGGGGAGAAGTATCACTCTGGGGATTTACTTAATCCAGGGGTAAAAAAAGTCCACTTCTTGGGATGCCTGGGTGGTTTTTCAGACTCCTGATTTCAGATCAGGTCATGATCTCATGGTTTATGGGATCAAGCCCTGTGTTGGACTCTATGCTGACAGCACGGAACCTGCTTGGGAGTCTCTCTCCCTCCATCCCTCTCTGCCCCTCCCCTGCTTTCATGGTCTCTCCTCTCTAAATAAATAAATAAATAAACATTGAAAACACACAAAAAAGAAAAGCCCACTTCTCCATTTATCAATCTATTCAACTCAGGGCTTTCCATTCTTGTTAGAGAACCTTGTAATGAATTAAAATCCAAACAAGACTATAAGAGTGGATGTCTGCCTTACGTCATAGCCTCTGAGTCTGTGGTATTAAGTGAGGAAGTGCAGGGGATACATGTCTAGTTTTCAGAAAATAAAGGAATGGAACCTCATGAATGGTTATTTTTCCAGAGAAAAATATCATTAACCATAAGATACCTAAATATATGCAATGCATGGTTAAATTTTAAAACTATAGTGGAGACTGAGGCACCTGTTCCCAGAAATAATTATTTAGTCTGTTCCCACCCTTCGACATGGCCCTCTTGTGTGAGTAGGGATGACACTTTCCCTGACAAAGATTTAATGACTTCATATGGGAACATAAGAAAAGAAGGACAAATAAAATGCCAGACTGTTTGCTGTGCTGTCACTGTTTTCTATCCTTAATGTGGTTGCTGACAGCCCAAATTGAAAACATGCTGAGTCTCCTCACCACCTGATGTTCATGAGATACTGCATGGCAGAGGCAGATCCTGTGACAGGTGAGGGGATCATGGCGGGGAAAATAGAAGCGTACAAAAAACATCGGAGGCCAAGACTGCTTGTTCTTTGCCAGGAAAAATGAGAAAACAGTGCCCAGGATTACTCCTCTCCCCTCCAAGATGCAGCATGGTCTAAGAATCTCTCCAAAAAGCTGCTACATCATGTAGGAGGAAAGAACTTTCAAAGCATGAGAGGATTCAGATTTCTAATATAAGGAAGTGCTGAGGAGCTACTTCAATGTAAATTGACTGCAAAAAAAAAATAGCCATAGGGAGATTGTTGCAACAAGAGTGATTCTAGATATGTGTTAGCCGTAAGGACAGCTTTATGGAACAAGAATGAATCTAGATGTATGAAGACATGGACTAAGTATATGATCTTTCATTGCTGTTTTCTTGGACTGCACGCTATAATGCAAATAAGTTATTTTTGCTTATTTAAAAACCAATTACACTGCTAGCTTCAGTAGTACATATACTAATATTGGAATGACATACAGAAGATTAGCATGGTCCCTGTGTTAAGGATGACATCCACTGTTGTGAAGTGTTCCATATTTTTAGAGCATAATGCTAAGCGGAGTAAGTTAGTCAGAAAAGAACAAACATCATATGAGTGAAATCATATGAGTGAACTTAGGAAGCACAAAAAATGAGCAAAGTGAGGAGGCATGGGAAAAGAGAAAGAGACAGACAAACCAAGAAACGGACTTTTAACTATTGAGAACAAACTGATGATTTCCAGAGGGTAGGCGAGTGGGGGAATGGGTGAAATAGATGATGGGGATTAAAGAGCACACTTATCATGATGAACTCTGAGTAATACACAGAAGTGCTGAATCACTATATTGTATATCCGAAAATAATATAACACTGTATGATAACTATACTGTAATTTGAATAAAAAGCTTTACAAATTACAATTTTTAGAAATTTTTTTGTGTTTGTGGTAATGCTTTCTTGAGTTCTGATTTAAAGATATATAGTAATGGGTGTTATATGGAAATCAACTTGACAGTAAACTATTTGTAAAAAATAAAAAAATAAAAAAATCCATTTTATTTGAGTTCAAAAAATAGATACATAGTAAAATAAAAGACACGTAGTATTTTATTTTAGCTAGTGGGATCTGATTATTTGCTTGCAAACTGGGAAGATGGAAAGTCTTGGTATGGCCGGCAATAGGAAATTTGTCCATAAGATACTTTAGCAGGTCTAGTCTGACACAAGGTAACATCAGATATAAACAAACCTTCAAACAAAGTGATAAAACGAAGATGAGAAGGGGCAGAATTGGGAAGAAAGTAATATGTTAAAATGAAAAGAATTTCACCAATACCACATGCCTGAATTTACTTAAGATAGAAAATACAATTGCTTTGGGGTTTTGTTTGTTTATATTTTGGGTTTTGGGTTTTTTTGGTTAAAGAAAACAAGAACTAACTTACCTGAGATCACTGACAGCTGTGGAATTGTAAATATTCTTCAATACCCAGATATGCTCATCTAGATTGTTTACTATATTTCCACTGTTTTATAACATGCATAACCTATAATGACTATATATGCATATCTATAATGTGCATAATCCATACTTACAGTATCTTTATGCATCTATGCAAAATATATGCATATGTAATTTTAAGTAAAGTTTTTTAAAGTTTATCTATTTTGAGAGAGAGAGAGAGGAAGAGAGAGAGAGAGAGAGGGAGAGAGCGTGCAATTGGGGAGGGGCAGAGAGAGGAAGAGAAAGAATCTCAGGCAGGCTCTGCACTGTCGGCACAGAGTCTGACGTGGTGCTTGAACTCACAAACCATGAGATAATGACATGAGCCAAAGTTGGACACTGAACTGACTAAGCCACCCAACTGCCCCTTAACAGAATATACTTTTATAGGGCTGTAAGCAATTTTATTTACTTAATAGGACATAATCAAATATGGTCTGAAGATCAAAGTTGCACAGATTATTTAGTATGTATAAGGATAGTAGTGCTTTTAAAAGTTTTCAATAGCTGCAAATGACTTTCAGTGTTCTTCACATGAAAATGGTGATTTGGAACATTATAAATAAACAAACTTCTCCCCTGACTCTTTCCTGAAGCTATGGATATACAGTTCTTTCTTTGGTGTGTGGGAAGTTGTACAGTGTTGTTCAAATAAACTCTAGGAGAGTCTCTTTTCAATTTACTAATTTTATTTCTTGCATTCTGCAATTGTTCTTTCTTTATTTGAAAAAATGGCAATCCAGCATATTTTAACTGTAATTTTTCTATTTAATGTTTTTTGTAAAACATCACTCCTTTCAACTTCCAGAGATCTGTCCTTTTAAATTTTGAAATATGAAATGTGAAAATGTAGTTTTTGATTCGTGTTTCTGAACAATTTGTATTTTTCCTTATAGAAATGAATGCCTACTGATCAAAGTTAGGAAATTCCCACTAATAACCAACATATATTTAGAAGCTACTATATGGTAGACTTTGTACTAGGTTCTTTGTAAATATTATCTCTAAATCTCAAACAATAAAATTTGATCTTTGCTTTATTATTCAAATTTGCACAATTGACATAACACCCACATCTTTTGTCCCTGAAAGTTGTATGCTTTCTCTCTTTCTCCAGCTTATTGAGATATAATTTACATATAATATTGTTTAAGTTTAAGGTATACAATGTGTTGATTTAATACACATATATTATGAAATGATGATCACCATAATGCTGGCTAACACCTCTATCATGTCACAATTATCCTTTTTTTTTTTTTTTGGTGATAAGAACATTTAAGATTTACCCTTTTAGCAACTTTCAAGTATATAACACAGTACTGTTAAGTATAAGCGCCATGATGCCCATTAAATTCCCAGAACTGATTAATCTTATAACTGGAAGATTATATTCTTGCATCAACAGACTCCCCGTTTCCTTCACACCCTCCAGCTCCTGACAGCCACCACTCCACTCTCTGTTTCTATGAATTTGGCTTTTTAAAAAATTATACACATAAGTGACATCATACAGTATTTGTTTGGTTTGTTAATTTTAGTATAATGCCCTCAAAGTCTATAAATGTCAGGATTTCCTTCTTTCTTCTGGTTAAATAATATCCCATTGCACATATATACCAGATTTTCTTTGTTTATACATCCAAAGATAGATACTTAAGTTGTTTCCCTATCTTGGCTATTGTGAATAATACTGCAATAAATGTGGGAGTTCAGATATCTCTTCAAGATCCTGATTTTACTTCATTTATTATCTATCCAGAATTGAGATTACTGGATCATTCAGTTCCAATTTTTCTGAAGGACTCCATACTCTTTTTCATAGTGGCTGTACCGGTTTACATTTCCATCAATAGTGCACGGGGACTTTCCTTCTCACCACATTCTTGCCAACACTTAACAGTTGTCTTTTTGATAATGGTCATCCTAATTGGTGTGAGATGATATTCCATTGCGGTTTTGATTTGCATTTCCTTGATGATTCGTAATGTTTACCACTCTTTCATGTGTTTGTTAACCATTCGGATGCTTTTCTTTAAACCATGTCTATCCAGTTCATCTGCTCATTTTTTAGTCAATTTTTGTACCGTTGAATTGTAGGAATCCATTATATATTTTGAATATGTTGCTGTATTAGATAGGTCATATACTTTCTTTTATCAATATCATCAGACATCCAGTATTAAATTGTTATCTCTACCGTCTTCTGCACTACACAAATATTTTCTGTTCTTTCCATCTTTCATTTCATTCTCTTTTCCACTCTTCATCACTTTTTCCAACAAATATTCACAAAGTATCTATTTCTACACATTCCAACACAGTAACTTGTGACTACATATGTTTACTAAGCCTTGAAGTGCGACTAGTCTAAATCGTAAGGTGTCATAAATGTAATATACACACCGCATTTCAATAAGCTAACATGAAAAATAGAATGTGAAATATAACACTAATGCCATTTATTTATTTTATTCATTTAAATGCTTATTTATTTTTGAGAGAGAGAGCATGAGTGAGGGAGGATCAGAGAGAGAGTGAAACAGGATCCAAAGTGGTCTCTGTATATACAGCAATGAACCTGATGAGAGGCTCAAACTCATGAACTGTGAGATCATGACCTGAGCTGGAGTTGGATGATCAACAGACTGAGACTGTCAGGCCCCTCAACATTAATGCCTTTTAAAATATTAAGATCCAAATGCTCCCAGTTAATGTTTTTCAGGTACATAACAGTTCTTTCCTCTCTCCCTCCTTTCCTTCCTCTGTTCTTTGCAGTTTTTAAAAAATAAACTTGTAAGATAGTTGTAAGAAATAATGCAGAGAGATACTGTGTACCCTTTATACAAATTCCCATAATAGTGACAGCTTAATAAACCCTGGTATAATATTGCATTCAGAGTATTGACTGTGACACAGTCAAGATTTTGCCCTTTGGTGACCACATCTACTTCCCTTCGCATACTCTCCTGCCTAATTCCTGACAACGACTGGTTTGTTCTGTATGTCTATAATTTGTTATTTCAAAAGTATTATATAAGTGGCATTATACAGTATGTAATTTTTTTGCAATTGTTTTTCTACACTCAGTATAATTCTCTGGAGATTGTTAGACTGTTACATGTATCAATAGTTCATTCCTTTTATTATTAAGTAGTATTCCATGCTATATATCCATACCATAGATCTATCAGTTCATTCAGCCACTCACTTGTTCAAGTGCATTTAGGTTATTTTCAAGTTTTGCTTCTGTAAACCTTCGTGAGCTTTGTGTGAACCTTCAAACTTTGTGTGAACATAAGTCTCCATTTCTCTGGTATAAATGCCTAGAAGTACAACTGCTGTGCTATATGGTAGTTTAACAAACAAACAAACAAACAAACAAACTCTATCAAACTGTTTTGGGGAAGGATTGTACCATTTTACATACCCGACAGCAAGATATGAATTTTCCAGTTTCTCCACATCCTCAATAACAGAGTTGTCATGATTTCTTTTTTTTTTTTTTGTCTTATAGATAGGTATATAGTGCTATCTCATTGTGGTTCTAATTTTCATTTGATGATTGTTTAATGAGGTATATCATCTTTTCTATGTTAATTTGCCATCTGGGTATCCTCTTGCTTATATTCAAGTTGAATTGTTTTTTTTTTACTATTGAGTGTTGAGAATTCTTTATATATTTTAGATACAAGTCTGTTGCTAGATATATGGTTTGCAAATCTGTTCTCCCACTCTGTAACTTGTCTTTTCATTCTCTTAACAGCATCTTTTAAAGACCAAAATGTTAAATTTTGTTGCAGTCCAATTTGTTGATCTTTCCTTTAATGGATAAGGCTATTTGGTGTCAGGTATGAAGTCTTTGCTTACCTCTAGATTTTCTCCTATATTAATATTTAAAACTTCTGTATTTTTACTTTTTTTAAAAGTGCATGGTCATTTTGAGTTAATTTTTAATAAGATGTTAGATTTAGGTCAAGACTGATTGATTGAGTTTTGGCTGTAGAAAATTCAGTGCATAGTCCTAAGTCGTCTTGTTGAATTGGCACTTTATC